TTCCTTCTGTTCTGGAGGTTTAATATATTTTTTCATACTGCTTGATGGTGTAGATTTGTGCCTCCGCATAGAGATAGAGTTTAGTTACTGCTTCCACTTGTTTCTACTGGTGTGGTGGGGGGACAGTTGTTTATACTGCTCCAACCAGGAACCCTATCAGCTGTTGCTAACGGCCTGGGCCCCTCCTCGTGGTCACAGTGGTCCTGTGGGGTCCCTCTTCAGCTGTGGGGGCCGTCACAAGGGGGCTTCAGGCTGCTGGTGCCTACTGTTGCAGACCACCTAGACATGCTCCCTCCTTAGGGTCTGCACCGGTGTTATGGGCTTTCCCAGCGGCCAGGGTCAGGATCACTTATATTTGCAGCTCTGTCACTGTCGGCGCCCGCAAAATCTCACTTGTCCACTATGGGTCACAGCAGAGCTACGGGCAGCTTCTGCAGTCTGTGGTTAGCTCACCTAGCTATGCTACCTTTGTCCCAGGGTCTTCCAGCCTTGTGGTTGCCGGGTGGGTGCTCTCTACTAGTGCTGTGCAGAGGCTATCACTGAGGCTGCTGTGAGACTGTAGAGTTTCCCCCTGGGCCGCGGAGCCGGCCACTGGAGCTCCACCCAGCCCCAGTCCTCTCCCAGGAGATCTCCGGGAGCCCTGAGCCCCGCCCAGGTGAAAGCCCGGTCAGTGGGGCTGGTGGTGGCAGCTGGCGGGGTGCCACCCCATTTGGGATTCTCTCTGGGAGCCTCCCGGCATTGTGGATGCTGGGTGGGGCCTCTCCACTAATGGCAGGTAGAGACTTCGCCTGCTGCCCGGACGGAACTCTGGAGTTCCCCCACTGGGCCGCGGATCCGGCCGTTGGAGCTCCATCCAGCCCCAGTCTTCTCCAGGAGATCTCTGGTAGTCCTGAGCCCCTCCCGGGCGATAGCCCGGTCAGTGGGGCCAGTGGCAGCAGCTGGCGGGCCGCCGCCCCGTTTGGGATTCTCTCTGGGAGCCTCCTGGCATTGTGGATACTGGGCGGAGCCTGTCCGCTAATGGTGGGTAGGGGTTTTCCCTGCCGCCTCAGGTGTGTAACTCTGGAGCTTCCCTCTGGGCTTAGGTGTAATTGCAGGAGGCTTAGGTAGGGCTCTGGTCACCTTTTTCCACCGTCGCTCCTCTGGTGTGCACTCCCTCCTGCCCTTGGTGTGTGGTGATGTTCTGGGGGCGTCCGCTGGAAGAAAGCTGCTTGCAGGTACTAGGCTGTTCGGGGGTCGGGGTTGGAGAGTTTTCACTTATCTCGACCTCCTCCTGGAGGGAAGTCCATCCGCCTTCCGATGTATAGCAGTGTGGGTCTCTCCGGCATCCTGAGATGCTATATGGATATCCTTTGTTAAGCGATGAATGTCCAATTAGTTGTAGATTCGAAGGGGGAGAGACAAAGAAGACTACTCACGCCATCATCTTGGATCTTCTCCTTTGTTCAGTTTTGAAGGCAGCACTCCAGTGTCTTCTGGCTTCCACTGTTGCTGTTGAGACCTGTGCCCTTCATATTGTTAATAGGAAACCTGGTTTTTTCTTTCTCTGGAAGCTTGTACAGTCTTCTCTTTTTGTCATGTGTGTTTCTTGGTGTTGGTCTGTTTTCAACCACTGTGCTAGGTGCTTCGTGAATCTTTTCATTCTGGAGACTCATGGACTTCAGTTCTGCTAAGTTATTTTGAAATTTTTAAAAACTTTCTCCTTTTCATTGATCTGTTTTCTTTATGAACTTTGAATTTTCTTAGTTATTCCTCTCTGGTTTTTTTGGCCTTAATTTACTTTTTGATTTATTGCTGGGAGATTTTCTGAATTTTATCTTTATTAAGTTTTTAAATTTCTAGTATCATATTTTTAGTTTTTCAGAGCCCTTTTTTAAATGTGTTCAATTTTTTAACATCTCATTCTTAATTAATATCTTCTCTTTTTTCTCTGAGGCTGTTATGATGGTTTGGTTTTGTTTTTATGTGTTTTCTTTCAGCGTAGTCTTCAAGTTTCTCTTGTTTTGTTCTCTTTCGTATTGGGTGTTTTCTCAAATATCTTTTGATCTTTTGCTTTTGACTTTTGGCTATCTAGGGCTGGGGTAGGGCAACTAAAGCTGGCTAGAAGCTCCTTGGGTGTGGTGAGTCTCCTCGACTCCAGACTTTCCTGTAGGCTGAACTGCCTGGGCTGTTTCATTGGGGAATTGTTGATGTCAGTATTTCTAGATCTTTTCTCTTGGGTTTGTTAGATCCTCCAGAGAAGTAGCTTCTCATCTCTTGCCTGGAGTGTGTAAATCTGGGCAGCCTTTTGGGAACCTAGATGGGAAAAAGTGGTTTTGTATTTGGAATAGCAAAAAGAACACACATAGGATTTTGATAATGTGAAATTCAGGGTTCTGTCCACAAATAAAGACATACAGAATAATGGAATAAACCTTGTTCTGGTTAACTTCCTTGTGTCCCAAAACTGAGTGGCTTCAAACGTGTTATTGTGCTCATGGTTTCTGTGGGTCAGGAATTCAGACAGGACATTGAAGGAATGGCTTATCTCTGCCCCATGATATCTAGGGCCTCAGCTAGGAACACTCAGCACTTGGGGGTGACTTGACAGATAGAGGCTGCTGTCATCATCTTTCCATGTTTGCTGTTTGATGCTGGCTGTGGGTTGAGTCCCCACCTGGGAAGGTGGGGTAATCTGTATGTGGCTTCTCCACGTGGCTTGGGCTTTCTCACAGCGTGGTGGCTTCAGAAGTTGAACTTCTCCTGTGATGTCTCAGGGTTCCAACATGAGTGTTGTACTGAGTGTGGTGGGAAGCTACATTTTTTCTAACCTTGCCTGAAGGTCAAGCAGTGCTGCATTCTGCTGGTTACAGGCAAGTCACAAGCCCATGTAGATTCAAGACAAGGGGACAAATACCCCATCCCTTGATGGAAGAATGTCACAGTTGAATTATAAGACGAGCATTTGAGATGAGAGATATGTTTGTGACTATTTTTGGAAAATAATGGTGTTTCAAAGGCCGTGAGTTGGGGATTGAGGGATTGCAGGTGCAGTGATAGTAATGAGTGCAGGGTTATAGTGGAGGGACTAAAGGGAGCACAGTCCGTCCTTCCCGAAGAGGGCAGGCAAGTGTTCAGAAAGCAACCTTCTGTTATGAGTTTTCTTGGACGTGGATAGGCCCGTTGGTAGTGTCTTAACTTCCTAGTGGAAGAAACTGAGTCTCCGAGAGGCTAATGAAGATTAGATAAAGATTAGTGATAAAGCTAGACCAAAGCATGGGTGTTGTGACGTTTAGCCTAAGCTCACATTGAGAAATTTGAGTTCTTAGTTATTTATAGTTTTTAGTTACTATATATATAATATATATATTCTCTTTTTTTTTTACTGAGTTCATAGTAGTTTACATCAATGTGAGATTTCAGTTGTACGTTACTTCTTGACTGTCACCACATAAGTGCTCCCCTTCACCTCGTGTGCCCACCTCACATCCCCCTTCCCCTGCTAACCACTGAACTGTTCTCCTTGTCCATGTGCTTGTTTGTATTCCACATATGAGTGAAATCATCTGGTGTTTGTCTTTCTCAGTCTGGCTCACTTTGCTTAGCACAATTCCCTCTGGGTCCTTCCATGTTGTTGCAAATGGGATGATTTTGTCTTTTCTTATGGCTGAGTAGTATTCCATTGTGTGTGTGTCTTCTTTATCCCATCATCAGTCGATGGGCACTTGGGTTGTTTCCATGTCTTGGCTATTGTGAATAGTGCTGCAATGAACATAGGGGTGCATATGCTACTTTGGATTGTTGATTTCAAGTTGTTTGGGTAGATACCCAGTAGTGGGATAGCTGGGTCATATGATACTTCTATTTTTAGCTTTTTGAGGAATCTCCCTACTGTTTTTCATAGTGGCTGAACCAGTTTGCATTCCCACCAGCAGTGTATGAGGGTTCCCTTTTTTCCACACCCTCTCCAGCATTTGTTATTTTTAGTCTTAGTGATTACAGCCATTATAAACGGGTGTAAGGTGGTATCTTAGTGTAGTTTTGATTGCATTTCCCTGATGATTAGTGATGTTGAACATCTTTTCATGTGTTTATTGGCCATCTATATATCTTCTTTGGAAAAATGTCTGCTCATATCCTCTGCCCGTTTTTTGATCGGGCTGTTTGTTTCTTTATTGTTCAGTTGTGTGAGTTCCTTATACATTATGAAGATTAACCCCTTGTCAGATATATGTAATGTGCAAATATTTTCTCCCAATTAGTGGGTTGTCTCTTTGTTTTTTTTCTTCTTCTCCCCAAAGCCCCCCAGTACATAGTTGTATATTCTAGTGGTTGGTCCTTCTGGTTGTACTATGTTGGACGCCGCCTCAGTGTGGCTTGATGAGCAGTGCCATGTCTGCACCCAGGATCCGAACCGGCAAAACCCTGGGCTGCCGAAGCAGGGCATGCAAACTTAACCACTTGGCCACAGGGCCGGCCCCTGTCTCTTTGTTTTGATCCCAGTTTCTTGTGCCTTGCAGAAGCTCTTTAGTCAGATGAAGTCCCACCTGTTTATTTTTTCTTTTGTTTCCCTTGTCTGAGAAGACATGATATTCGAAAAGATCCTTTTAAGTTCGAAGTCAAAGAGTGTATTACCTGTATTATCTTCTGGGAGTTTTATGGTTTCAGGACTTATCTTCAAGTCTTTGATCCATTTTGAGTTATATATATATATTCTTAGTTAATTCTTAGTTATTATGGGAGAAGCTTTCCTTTGGGTAATGGTAATTTCATATGTGAGGGCACAAAAGCATTTCCTGATATATAAAACTGTATTCTAAAACTCCTGACGTGCTGTTAGGTTGACAGAAGGAATGGAAATATTGAATTTGGCCATGGCCTAGTCATTTTCTTTCTTGATTTTCATTGTTAAAATGTCTAAGAATTCTGCCTGCTTCAAGGTTTGTACAGCAGTACCAGAAGAGAGGATTCTGCTGTACTGTCTGAACCATTAAAACACGCCTCTTTCCCTTCTTGTTAATCAGGAAGCGCAGAACCTCATGGCTCTGACCAATGTGGACACCCCATTAAAAGGTGGACTGAATACCCCTCTGCACGAGAGTGACTTCTCAGGTGTGACTCCACAGCGGCAGGTTGTACAGACTCCAAATACAGTTCTTTCTACCCCATTCAGGTATTATTAATAAACAAATGTTTTCTGTTTTAGAAAAACTTGAATCCGAGGATTTGGACAACATCCTTGCTTTAGTAATGTTGACAGAGAATGGAAATAAGTGATCAACTTGCGTTTTTGATTTCTCCTCACTCGTAGTAGTAAATAACATAATAGTGTCCAGGAAATGGTTAAATACTCTATGGAGCTTTCTTCCTTTTTCAGTTTCTGATGCTTATCACCTTGTTTCTGGATACTTTTTATCTGATTTAAAAGAGCAGGTCAATCCATTGTTATTGATCCTTTGGTGAATTTTATAAAAATTGTAATCCTTTTTATGCATGTGTGACTATTGCTTTTCCCCCAACATTTTATTATGGAAATTTCTAACATTCAGAGAGTTTGAAAGAATGGTAAAGCAAACATCCGTATAGCCACCACCTAAATTCTACAGTTGTTAACATATTACTGTGTTTGCTTTATCGTGTATCTATCTGTCAATCCATCTTATTTTTTAATGCGTTTCAAAGTAAGTTGCAGGTATCAGTCCATTTCATCAGTAAACACTTCCTTCTGCATATCGTTACCTAGAGTTCAGAGTTCATTATTTGTTTACAATTCTTTTGTTTTAAGCTATTGCTTTTTGAAGGAGAATTTTTAAGATACAAACATTATAGTGGCAAGTTGTATTAAAATTGAATTTGAGTTTTTAAGGGTTGGAAATATTTGGGCTTTACTTTTAATTTTAAACGTTAGGATATGTCCTCCTGCTGGTTGTGTAGTATAGGAAGCATCTCAGACTGTTACAGCTGTACATGACAGCAGGATCAAGAAGCCTTGGCAGCCAAATCCTTACATTTCACACTTCTTGCAAGGCTTGTAAGAAAGCCTAGTCCCTTTTTTCCTGTGTGTGTCTTATCTCTCAACTAGACTGTAAGCTCCTTGTGGGCAGGGACCGTGTCTTATAGGACAAAACCTCACCTCTTTGGAACAGCTCTCTGGCAGCACCATCTGTCTGAACACAGCCAAGATACAGGAAGTAAGCAAACAAAGGCTTTGAACAATTAAAATATAAGTTGCAAAGTCTATGGACTTTATTCATGGGAGAGTCTCTTAGTCCTCACTCCTAACTATTCATATTTAGATGTGATTCTAAAAGCCTAGTGTTTAGTTTCCAAACAGAATGTAAAGAGAGAAACTACTTAGAATATGGACACTGATGATAACGTGATAATGACATGATAGCCAACAGCTAGAGGCAGGGAGGAAACAAATGATAAGATGAAGATGCTGAACTCAGAGTTATTTTGGGTCTTTGAGCTTGGTGGCTCACCTCTCTGCCCACTCTGTGTTCTTTTCCTCCTTAGTGTGTCACAAAAAGGTTGAAATGATGTTTGGTGGACTTAATTTAGAAAGGCAAGAAAATGTCAAATGTAGTAACTTTATTTGAAGTCATTAAAGTGAAAATACTGTGTGTAAATACTAAGCTAGCTGGTAAACCTTTATTTTAACCTTATTAAAACCAGGTAGGGAAACAGAATTTCTGGAGTCTTTATTTCTTTATTTTCTGCATTCCTTGTTAAATAATTTATGGGAAAAACATTTGAAAGCACAATCTAGATAAAAATGGCACTTTTATTAGTTGGAGTTTCTGTCTTCCAGGACTCCTTCTCATGGATCCGAAGGGCTGACTCCTCGGAGTGGAACGACTCCCAAACCAGTTATTAACTCCACCCCGGGTAGAACTCCTCTTCGAGACAAGTTGAACATTAATCCTGAGGATGGAATGGCAGACTACAGTGATCCCTCTTATGTGAAGCAGATGGTACACGTCACTTCTCTTCTAAAACTTAAAAAAAAAAAGGTTTTGTACCTCACGGGTGCTGAATTAAGATCTTCCATCTTGTCAGTGCATATTATATATACCTTGGGAATCTGTATACCTGTGGACACCAGAAAAGGAAAATGATTTTCAGGACTTGAGAAGGGGAACCTTTTGGTCTCATAAGCCTACTTTTTTCTGATTTTTAATATTTTTGTGAATATTGATTATGCTGATGGTAATGCACCTTGTATCTCTTGGGATTTTAATTTTATCGTTTACTAATTAATACTTTCTTGAATTTTTTTTTTCTATTTCTGTGAAATAAATTTTGGGTTTCGAATGCCTCGTAAATTAGATTTTGAGCCTTGATTCCTCTTTGCTCTGTACTTTCAGGACAGTCTAGATCTCAAAGCCAAGTTAATTTGATGTTTATTGCTGACCTTAACAAAATTTTCTTTTGTATGTTTTGCAAGGTGATGCAGAAAGCTAATTATAAAAGTTGAGTTTTGCTTCTGCCCATGTTATTGCTTTTATTATGTTACTATTGGGCTTTATTATCTGATGCCACAGGAAATCATTGTGGGATTTGTTTCTTTTTAATGAGTTCCAATGATGTTGGCCTGTTTTCAGTTTACAAATTAATTCTAACTTCACATATAGATTTGATTAGTTTAGAATGTTTTTTTAATGCCCAAATTGCTACCAACTAATGCCAGCTCTGCATGGCTACATAAGAATTAAACAAAAGATCAAATGTGTGCAAAGCATGAATCTGGACACTTTAGGGGATCTAAAGTTGAGTAAAGATGTCTTTTGTCTTGAAGAAGTTTATGTTCTAGAGAAATTGGCAGTACTAGACCAAGTCCAAAAATAATTGTAAGATAAGATCAAAATAAGTCATGTGAGTAAAATCAACATGCTTAGGGTGGCCAAAGAAAGAAAATCCCATTTGTTGGGTGGATACTGGGAAAGCCTTCATTGAGGAGATATGCTCAGAAGAGGGTCAGGCTATCCCAGGTGGAGGCCATAATGTGAATGAGTGTGAGGCATGTTTTGGAGGTAGCAACTCCTCACCCCTGGCATACATGTAATGGAGCAGTGGGGAATAAGACTAGAAAGGTGAGCTGAGGATGTATTGGGGAAAACTTCGGGTACTGGGCAGTTTCCTTTGGGAACTATGGACTGTTTTCTTTGTCTTGCCTATCATCTAGTATTTCCATTAAAAATAAACACACACACACATTCAGGCATCTTTACAGTTTAGGTTTTGTTAGTCCAAGGACAAATTGACTTTTGAACTTGTTTTTTTCATTTGCTGTTAAATGTCAGTGTCAAAAATGTTTTCCTTAAATGGGGATCCTGAAGAACTTTTTTCTGCCCCTCAGAGGTAATGCCAAAGCTGTTTATTAGAATATCCAGAGTAACTTCATTGATCACAAAACAGAGTTTTTGTTTGGTCTTAATGTAGGGAAGAAATAGAGATAGAAATTAAACAAAAAACTTGTCTCAGCTCTGAAGTTAGAGATCATTTTTCTAGAATTAAAATTAGGCTAAGTGTTTTTTGGAAACTCCTGTAGAATATTGGTTGAACTTAGTGTGTGTGAATTGAGAAGGACCAATTCTTTTCCACAGGAAAGAGAGTCTCGTGAACACCTCCGTTTAGGGTTGTTGGGCCTTCCTGCTCCTAAGAATGACTTTGAAATTGTTCTACCAGAAAATGCTGAGAAGGAGCTGGAAGATCGTGAAATAGATGATACTTACATTGAAGATGCTGCTGATGTAGATGCACGAAAGCAGGTGGGTATTGTGCTAGAAAGGGAGTGCGGGTTTGCCAAATGTGTCAGTCAGCTGAAAGAATGAAGAATGGCTGTTAAATATCTCAAGATCACTACTTAGAAGTTTTTGATATTTAAAAAAATTACCCTAAAATAAACTACTTATGCTGTAATAAATACTCATGTATTTAAAAATATATTCGGGATATCTTGATAAGCTTTTTTTTTTTTTTTGGTGAGGAAGATTTACTCCAAGCTAACATTTATTGCCAATCGTCCTTTTTTTGCTTGAGGAAGATTAACCCTGAGCTAACATCCATGCCAGTCTTCCTCTATTTGGTATGTGGGTCGCTGCCACGACATGGCTTGATGAGTGGTATAGGTCCATGCCTGAGATCCAAACCCTTGAACCTGGGCCACTGAAGCAGAGTGTGCCGGACTTAACCACTATGCCATGGGGCCGGCCCTTGATAGGCATTCTTAAAATCTATATGTATAAAGCAATTTAAATACCCTCTGTCAAATTTATTAAGCTTCTTTGAAGTATACATAAGTAGTCTTTTAGACATTGTGTTTCACCCTAGCCAGGAAAAGATGTTATTGATGAGTCTTGAAAACACATACATCTTGGATTGGTTGAGTAAATGGTTTTGGCTTAGTGTAAAGTAATAAAAAATGTATATTTGTAGATTTAGAGAGAGTTCGTCATAGTATCAGTAACACCTTGTACTAATATATCTTATAGTTAATTACTTTCTCATTTGCACATAACAACTGGGTGATGTAAACAGTATAGGTATTAGCTTCATTTTAGAAATGAGGAAACAGGCTTAGGTGAATTAAGTTAATTTTCCCAGGTCTCATGGCTGGAAGGTGGTGAATCTTGAACTGAGAACTGAGATAGTATGACCCCTTTCAGTAATTCTTGCTGCAGTCTGTTTCAGGATCATTTTAGAAATGGAATAATTTCATGGGATTGTAGTGAGAATGGCATCAACGGCCATCATATTTTAGAGGGAAATCATGTGAATGTGCTTTTTGGTGGGGAATATAGGATAATACTTTTTGTGTTCTCTTAGCTACTTTGAGTTACACTTACTCTCAGCAGTGGTGTGAAATTCTAATCTGTTACCTCACATTATTCAAGAAATTTAATTTAAGAATCAAGAAACACATTCATTGGCTGGCTTTTTAAATTAAAAATCAGTAGCTTTTGGGGTGGTAAGGTTGGTATTGCAGGAGGAATAATTAAGCGTTCCCTCTAGGTTTAGGATTCTGATTGAGACAGGAAGAGAATGATGATCTGATGGGTGGAGCCATGTAAATTTGGAGAACGCGCTAGTCGACATTGAAAGTTCTTAGTTTGTATTGTAATGAGAGAATGAATATACACTGATGAGTTTCTGTTGCCTTCTATTGCCTTACTGCAACCTTACACAGAGTTCTACAGCTTTAGCTCCTGAACATAGATGTTCTTGTAGACTAAAGTGTTTTCAGCTTTATTGAAATGTGTCAAATACTGTATAGCTGCAGTAATGGATATAAAAATAATTTTTTAGGCCATACGAGAAGCAGAACGTGTAAAGGAAATGAAACGAATGCACAAAGCTGTCCAGAAAGATCTGCCAAGACCATCAGAAGTAAGTGTTAGAATTTCTGGTTTAGGATGTTTTAAGTTTCTTTTTCTGCGATTGATACTTTTTATAATATTCGTACTGTCTGTAAAACAAAATTTCATCTACTTTCTAGAATATAGTAAAGCAATTCCCAGATCTAATCTTTTAAATATTTCACTGGTACAAATGAGAATTTAGAAGGAAAAAAAAGAATTCATTTTGAAAGTGTAAAACTGCTATTTAATTCATGCCTAGCACGAGTAATCACATGAGTATGTTGCAGTGATATGTTTGGTAATTGTTTTTGTTTTAAACTTTTAGGTAAATGAAACTATTCTAAGACCCTTAAATGTAGAACCACCTCTAACAGATTTACAGAAAAGTGAAGAACTAATCAAAAAAGAAATGATTACAATGCTTCATTATGACCTTCTGCATCACCCTTATGAACCATCTGGAAATAAAAAAGGAAAAACTGTAGGATTTGGTACAAATAATTCGGAGCACATTGCTTATCTGGAACATAACCCTTATGAAAAGTTCTCCAAAGAAGAACTGAAAAAGGTATGATTGAGCGGGAATGTTTCTGTCTTGAGATTTAATATTTCCGTGTGTCATAGGCAAGTGTTAGCTTATTTTCCCATATTGATATTCATAGGTAAGTGAAATACACAGTTAGGAGATAAATGTTCATATGAAGTGTTAGGACTCCACCTCCGTGCCCACGTTCAGTGATAGAGCTTTATCAGGTAAACACTAATGTGGGTGGCAAGATATTTTTGTTTCATAGATGTGTGCCTGATGGACAGTTGCTACACTTGTCATTTTCTGTGTTTAACTTTTGTATTTAGACTAATATGAAAAAACAAGAGTGTATTAAAAATGTTTATAGATTAAACTTTTCACCTGTTTAAAGAAAGGAAATAGTTTTACTGAATTTATTCTCCTCATATGATTTCCCTCTATCCTTTTGGATAAGGAAATAAAGAAACTGTTTCTTATGTAAAGTCTGTTCTACCTTTTCCTTCATATGCAGTTTGTTCTTTCTGCTTTGACGGAGCAAACAGCTGTGATTGTGAATAGAAATCTGCACGTTGGTGTGAGAAAATACAGTTGGTTTTGTGGTTGGAAACAGAGTGTTATTAGCTTAAAAGTCTTTTTTCTTTAGTCTTTAGTCCTGAAGGGCAATGATGGATCCATTGATTGGAATGGGTTAATGCACACTTGGGAGAAAGCAAATAAAATTCTTTTTTCTCTTTTCCCTTCTGCTCTTTCCCTCTCTCCCTCTCTTTCTTACTTTCTGTTTTCCTTATTGCATAAGTAATGCACGTTTAATATATTTTTAGAAAATAGAGAAAGGAAGGAAGATTTAGATTTATATTTCAATAATTTGCCTCTGATTTCTGAGTGGCTTGAGTTACTCTTTTTCAGTAAGTGCTGTGGGAAACTGACGTCTGTCAAGTGCCTGTGCTGTGGCAGGCACATTTAATCATTGATCTGGGGTTGAGAATTAAGGCTACGAACTCAATACTTGAACAGTTTCCTCTTTTTAGAGTGAAAATATGAGGGGAAGATGGAATTCAGGAAACATTTTCCTAAATTTATTGTATTATGGAAACCTGAAATAGAGATCACATTGTTGCTTATAGATGTTCTGTAGGGGATAGAGTCTAATAAAACTTTGAAAATAATAATTGTAAGTATTACTTTGGAATTATTTGAAACTGTTAGAAAGTAGTTTAAATATTCTACTGTATTTTATCTGTTTATACTCTTCTTTGTTCCAAAAAGATTTTGAAGCAGCTGTTTACTTAGCAGATTCTTTATGGACAGTTTAAAGGTAACTTAGCTGTACTCTCTCCTAATAATTACACGAGCTGAATTTGTAAATTTTTGCTATGTACAGTTTCAGAATGAAATTTTGAAGCTATTTCTCTTACAATAAAGTATCAGATTTTCATTAACTATGTTAAATTCGTTTGGTTCCATTACTTCCTCTAAGAGGTATTGTTTAAAAGTATCCAATTTTGGGGGCTGGCCCCGTGGCGTAGTGGTTAAGTTTGGCATGCTCCGCTTCAGCAGCCTGGGTTTGTGGCTGCAGATCCTGAGCATGGACCTACACCACTTGTCAGCCGTGCTGTGGTGGTGACCCACATATAAAGTAGAGGGAGATTGGCACAGATGTTAGCTCAGGGCTAATCTATCTCAGCAAAAAAAAAAGTATTCAATTTTTGTCTTCTATAGACAAGATTTTCTGTTTTTTTGTTTAGAGTTTTTGTATGCTGGTCATTTGTCTTGATTTTATATATTTGGGTCTGTTTATTTTCTGATATTACTAGAACAATTGAAAGCTTTTTATAAAGCACAAAAAGTGGTTGTCACTTTTTCATGATCTGTGAAGCAAAGTTCTGGAAAAAGTTCATGTGGTATGCTAACAGAGTCTGTGTGGTCTGATGTTGGGTTAGGCTGTTTATGTATATTGTATCACTTAATCCTAGTAACAAATGTGTCAGGTAGGTATTATCCCCATTTTACGAATGAGAAACTGGCTCAGAGAAGTTAAGCAAGTTCAGACAGCCACATAAGTGGTAAAGCTGTGATTTGAACCCAGGCTCGTCCCACTCCATTCCCCTCATTCTGTCATCTTAGACTGTTTCTTTAGTAGTGAATGAGACTTGGTCTATGATCCATCATTATTTGCTTCGTGCCCCAAGTCTCATTCTCTGGCAGTGTCAGGGGCATTCCTTCAGATGAGAAAAAAAGGCATGAATCAAAAAAAATGCCTTGTTCCCCTTCATGATCCTGTGAAGTTTGAAGTGTAGGAAGGGAGGGCGGAGTGGAAGGAGCACACACAAGCATTGGTACCGTCTGGCCTGGGCGTGATCCTGTCTTGTCTGCTTACTAGTGATGTGGTCTGGAACCAGTTTAATTTCTCTGAGCCTTAGTTCCATCGCCTTTAAAATGAGGTTAACATTAGCTCCTTTCTAAGATGGTTATGATGTTTGGAGATAATTTAGGTAAAACTTATAAATCCAGTTCCTGGCACATAGTAGATACCTGAGAAATGGTGGCTACTATTATAATGAGTGAAGGCAAAAAAGACTTTTATATTACTGGGGGGATATGTGGATGCTTGGCTTTTCAGATCAGTCTGCATTGCCTACATTTGCTTAGGTATTCTTCCCCCCTTCCAGAAAACAACCAGTGAACCAAAACTCCTTGCTTTTGCCAAAAGGAGGAGGAAAAACTAGTCTTTTAAAGCTCTCTGTCGATGGCAAGTATTTGTAGTACTCAAACTTCCTGAAATTATTATTGTAAACAGGCCCAGGACATTCTGGTGCAGGAGATGGAAGTGGTAAAACAAGGAATGAGCCACGGAGAACTCTCAAGTGAAGCCTATAACCAGGTGTGGGAAGAATGCTACAGTCAAGTTTTGTATCTCCCTGGGCAGAGCCGCTACACACGGGCCAACCTCGCTAGCAAAAAGGACAGAATTGAGTCACTTGAAAAGAGGCTTGAGGTTGGTATTCTTTTAAAATTCTAATTGAAATATACTTTGATTGAAATAATGAACTAGAGTATAATACCATTGAAGACAACTTCAGAAAAACAGACCTGAGGTGATTATTGCCTTTGCAGTTCTTGAGGGAAAACTACACTGAAGTGTTTGATCTTCCTTGGCCTCTTCATTGGTTTTTCAGAATTGCTTGCCTTCCTGATAAAGAGTGCCCTCCAGGTTGACGCCGGGTCAGTCAGAATGTGGGAGCGGGAGCCAAGAAGTTAACACTGGTCACTCAGAACAGTGTAGATCAGTGCGAGAATAGCCTCTTTTCTCTAGGGAGGGATCTCAGTAGTGCCAAGGAGCTTTCTTTCTGTAGCTAAGAGAGCACATTTACAGAACTTTGGTACCGTCTTATTCATCCTGTGATTCCTGTGAGTTCAAGTTACAGAGAGAGTGCCAAGCTGGATTATCTAGACAATGGCTTCCAAGATTTTTCACGTTTATGAAAATGTTGAAATGTACTAAATGTGAGTTTCATGGCATGTGGTTTCTTAATAGAGTCTGCATTTTTTGAATTCCAGAATCTGTGTAGGCATTTTGCCAGTGGCATGTAAATTGTGGTTCATGGGCCACTAGGCTGCCTTGTGGATTCTTAATGGTGGTCTTCAGGGCTGTTTCTGAGGCCAAGATGGGATGGGAAGGAGGAAGGGGTGCTTCAGGCAATCACATGCAGAAAGTGGCCTTAGTTTCCTCTTCTGTGATTACCGGTTTCTCTTTACAAAAAGCAGATTTGAAAATATTTCTATTTAGGGGAAAAAAAATATTAAAATAACTTGGGATGATTGGGGCTGTGTGGAGCTAGGGAAATGAGCAGGAAAAAGCAGTATCTTTTAATTTAAAATTATTGTAAGTCTTAATTTTACCTTTAAGATTACATATATAGGCACCTAGTGGTTAATCTTTTGTCATTTGGGGGAAATGAGCGTTTCTTTCTGAAGTAATTCTCATCTTGGGTGAAATCTCAGCAGTCCCGTGCTGCTGGTCACTCCAGTTGTATGACTCACCTCCAGCAGGGTGTGCTGTTGCTCTGTGTTTTAAATCACAGTTAGAGAAGGTAGGACATCAGTGGTTAAATTTTAAGTTACATTTTCTGTCGTGTAGGCTTCCTTTCTTATAACTGTAGTTAGCAGTGTGGTTCTGATCTAAGGTCAGCGCTGTAATTGATTGGAAAGCCATTTGGAAAGTTTCCTTGTAACATTTATATAGAAATACTTAGGTCTCTCACTTAGTTTGAAAATCTTCTCATTTGAGGTGAGTAAACTCTTTCTGCCTCAAATGGGAAGGACATTTTGTGCTGTTTGAAATATAAAAAAAAGTTTTTCCCTAAATCTCATTTACTTTGTCGAGGCACTAACTTTCATGACAGCAAATAAATGTGTCACAAAGTGAGTGGTGCCGTAAAGTACAGTAATTTTTATTTCTACGTTGAATTGGTCTTGTGAGTTTTGAAGGGAAAAATACAGAAAGAACCACTGCTGTTCTTTTGGAGATTTATTTGGGTCGTTTATGAGCAACCATTAAAAACATGTGGTTCTCTTTGTTCAGTTCAGTACCAGGAACTGAAATCTTCCGTTGAACTATTTTTGTTGAAGGATTGGTGATTTTGGAAGAATATTCATAAAACAGTCTGAAGTAATTTTTCTTTTCTTGACTCCTGGATAACTTACTTTTTTGTTTACCCAACTAGTTACTTTTAAAGAATACGTAATCAAATCCTTTAATTTAGTAAACTATGCTTATTTCAAATGAAAGTTCATTAAATCTTTAAAAAGAAGAAAAGAGACTCAAAAAACCAAATAAACAAATCCCTCATTTTATTTGTATCCATCCCTAATTCAGAACTAGGTTTGTCTTAGCTTATTTTAGTTTTTGAAGATACAATTCTACTGGTTTGAAATACATAAATATTTTATTTCAATTGTGGTAATTCTTTCATCATTTCAGTTGATTGCTAAATTATAAACATTATTCAAAGTTTGTTGTGGGGAAGGAACTCCAGTTGAATTATATAAACTAAATGCTGTACTTGAATTATCCTTTCCACTCTTAGTTTCAGGGAGATAAGCCTTTCTGTGCAAGCACAGTACACCACGACTGCCAGTGTGTTTGATTTTTGCTGCCGTGAACTTGGGAACAGTGAATCTAAGTTATGGCCCTATCACAGTGTATCAAGCAAGATGAAATCCAGCTTTGTCGTGGTTGGTGTCTCCTAAATGGATTAAAAAAATGTGCCCTGAGGTTTATATTGGAGCTAGTCTTTGAGCCGGTACTCATGATTAATATTTGAAACTTAGAACTTAAATGAAAATCCTTAAGATACTCATTTAAAACTAATAGAACCATCTCAGATTTTATGTGGAATGTGGTAGGTGGTACAAGCAGTCTGTTAAATAAATAGAATCAGAACGTAGTCGCAGGTCGAAAGTAAGCGGGAAAGACTTGTGAATTATAACCAAGTCCATGTATTTTATTCTGCTTTGGAGGCAGAATTAATTTTAGAACCTTGCCAGACATTTGTGTGTAAAATAAGGCGGCAGCAGCAATCAGAAATGACAGCTAATATCAGAAAAGGAAAAGTTAGAAAGCGTAACATGTTGAGTCCATTTAAATACGGTGGCAGAAAGCCTTGTGCGTTTTAAGAGCTTCTGAGGGCATTATGGGTGTGTAGTAGGAGCTAGAGTGATCGCTGTTTATAGTGATCCCCAAATTAATAAGAAAAGCTTAATTTCTTAGTGTCATGTGTGGTTTTTTTTTTAAAGAGAGATGGCTATAATTGTAGAAAAATTTTCATCAAATGGTTAAAAGTAAAAGAGCTTTAGTACTTATTTAATCCCATGTTCAGTGAGTGTTGCTGAGCGTCTGCTGCGTGCCAGCCCCTGCTCTAGGCCCGGGGGATGCAGCGGGGACGGGGCAGGCCAGCTCTGCTCCTGTGCCCGGGGGATGCAGCGGGAACGGGGCAGACCAGCTCTGCTCCTGTGGACTTCACTTATCTGGAGAATGCTCAGTGTGGAGAACCTCATTTTCTGACGATGCCAGATAAATGAGTCATTACTGTATTTGGGAAGTGCAAATAGAATTTGAAGTGTTCTAATTTGTTTCCACTTTAAGTGGAAATAGGAAATCGTCTGAAGACATAATTATTTTGAGTGAAATAATTTCCAGTAGGTGCAAAAGTGAAATGAGAAGTCTGAATTTAGGCCTGCTATTAAATTTAATAGTATTTGAAATAGTATCTAAACTGCTGTGTTGAGGAAGTTTGGCTGAAAAGTAGATTTTGTCATGTTAGCTATAAAAATGGAAAGGCTTTCCTTAGAGGTGGAAACTAGGTCCAGAAGTAATACTTCTCCCTGTATTTTACTGGCACAGTCAACTTACTCAAGAAATATTATGTAACATTGACTTCTTGGAAATAAAGTAACTTAAAGAACACAGATAACACATTTAAAATCCTTCTCAGTGTATTTGTAGAACTCTTATGAGGACCCCTGCCTTTACTGAATGGTTATATTTCAGCAAAATTGGCTGCACAATGGATCCCATTTTCTCAGTGATTTTCATTACAAAGTCATATATTTTCACACAGGAAAACATTCCCTTAATGCTTTAAAGAGTGAAAACTTAGGGTAAGGATTAGATTGGTGGGCAGTTCTGGGTGGAGGACTGTATGTGGTAGTGTCTCAGCAAGTTCACGCTTATGTTCCCTTGTGGGTGTGTGTACGGAGAGAGGGTGGCACGGGGTGCAGGAGGGAAGTTGCTCCCAGTACTTTGGAATGCCGTCTTTCTCACATCCTGCTCTCTGCCATGGCCCTTAACGGCACTGACAGGTTTCTTGGTTCTTTCTAGCAAGAACTCTAGAGCTGGACCAGAGATCTCCTCGGTACCACCGTTGTGCTTCTGTCATGCCTCAGCATACTGTTGACTGTTTTCGTGCAGTTTCTGTGTTTCATTTCCTAACTTATGCCGATGTAAAGTGCTCTCGGTATGGCTTTATTGGTACGTTACTTTTCTGGGAGAGGTTTTTAGTAAGGTTTTGCCTTACTGCTTAGCTTCCTTTGCAGGGATGCAGTCTGATGTTTGCTAAGTCTGGTTAGATGCTGACAGTAATCACCTACTTGTACCTGCATCTCATCAGTATAGAGAAGGTTCACCAATAAAACTGAATGCTAGTGAGGAGTGTGGAGAGTACAGGAGAGTCACTCGTGGACTCTTGTTTGCAAACATTTTGGTGGTTGAACCACATCTGTACTACTATAGGATCTTATTGCTGAATGGTGGCCTAGGAAGTGGAGCTGCCGTCAACTCTCTGTTTATTTTGGGTGTCCTTAAACCTGTTTTTCCAGTGGTATAAGGTTATGTTCTGGGCCCCCAAGCAAGAGTTTCAGTGAGGGATGCTCTTAATGTTTCTGAACCTCACTATAACAGACTTTAACTGAAGACAGTATTGGAGACCCAAGGATAATGTGTTTATTTTGGAATTACTTAAGCTTAGTAACCTTAACAAACTTAGTGAGTTTGAAAGTAACAATTACACTTTTATAAGTCCCATACAGCCCCCTTTTGTAATGACCCGAGGAAACACTTATGGTTCCACTGATTCATCTCCTGGGAACCATCAGTTTTCCATTGGTCTCTGGCCAGTCTTTTTTAGACAGTTTCTCTTCTATGCGTTTAAAAAATAACATTTGTAGGCGTTTTTCTAAAAATAATACCTGTACTTTGTAGAAAATTTTAAAAGAAATTTAAAAAATGAAGAAAAAAAGCCTACCATCCAGACATAATCACCTAAAAATTTGGGGGGAGTGTGTGTGTGTGTGTGTGTGTGTGTGTATGTATGTATGTATATATATATATATATATAAAAATAAGATTAAATATAATAGAAAAAGATTAATGTATATATAAACATACATACCTCTGTGAATGAAAGGAGGAAGGTATTTAAAACTAAATTGGGATCA